GATTGTGGTCTACCTTACCCATTGACTCTGCCTTCGATTGGATGTTATCGTTCGTGTCTATTTGCGAGGCTCATACATTGTGAGCGGAGCTTGCGGCTACGGCGGTGGACCAAGTCCTTTGGAGCTCTGTTTGGCTCGCCACTGGGGATGGGTCCAGTCCGTGCATATAGACCCCGAGATGCTTCCCGACATATTTAATCACCCACTGGCTCCACCTTCGGTGTATAAGTCTTCTCGGGGCAAGCATAACTGAATCCCGAAGTTCAGCGCCTAGTCAAGCCCCGCAGACTATCAGTTCACCTCGCTCACTCATCAATCCTCAGCTCACATCGTTCCACTTTACCACTGCGCACTTAGTCATGTCGCAATATTATCGTAATTACAGTTATGCATCGATATTATTGTTATGTTCTTGTTGTGTTATTATTGTACTTACGCATATATTCTTCGGTTGTCTAATTATTCTCTGTAATAAAACTAGCATTCACTCGAGGCGTTAACATCAGTAGCCGTCAGCGGCATCACTCATCATTCTATCAGCAGATCAAATTGCTAGCAACGGCGGGCCAACCCCGTTACTATAACATGGGTTAGAACTGATTAATTGCATTTTTCGCTAGCCTTTCTAATGTCTTTTAGGTGCACTGCTTCGTCCCTCTAAGCAACGAAAGACGGCATGCGTGGGATTCTCCTTTATTCAGATTCCTGCACCATCATAGTTCTCTTTATATCTATCGTATATCTCTTTGTTATTTCTCTTCGTCACTGGAATTCATTATTTTGACGTTCGTCCGCTTATTTCGCGCGATCATAGTCTTTGGAGAGTTTCTAAAAATCATCGCAATTTGGAAAAGAAATACAAGCTACTTCAGTTAGTCCCTTTTTCTCAGTCATCTCTTTGTTGGTGTCCCTGGACACAATTATTATGTTGCTAATCAAAGTCGTGGCATCTATTGCTTTTAACAGCCACCTTCTATAAAGCCCAAGATATCTGGCAACGAGTGGGATGGGGTCATCCCGAGTTCGAAGTGATTTTTTTGCGATAAACCCAATGATGTAGAGTGATGTGCAAAATTCCTTTGCATCAGATGGGATTCAAAACCATATTTCACCTTTTCCAAAGGCGCGTGCCCCACCGTTGCACTGTTAACGCCCGGTTTGACATCACTCTTATCGTAGACTTCAAATAGCGTCTAGGTCAGGAAGAAGAATCAAGCGCTGTGACGTCGAATACACGAAATTTCTAGTATTTACTGCATTTTCCGCAGTGTTATTGAGTTTCATATATACCTGAGAGAATTGAGTGGTGAGCAAAACACGGCCTCAGGCGGGAATCAAACCCGTGTTTTATCCATAGCGGGAAAAAATGGCTGTCAGCTCAACTGGGTTTATTGAGCGAAATCGCATACCCGATCAAGCCTGTTAGAGGTTGGTGGCTGATAGTTAAGATAGAGATGTTGAAGAATGAGTGATGGCACAAATGTGACTCTGTGCTGTAGTGGTAGTAGCATGCGTCCCCGGTATGGATGAAACGCTGGTTTGACTCTCGCGTGAGACTATGTTTTTGCTCACCACTCAATTATCTTAGGTAGCTATGACGTCTTTTTTCATTTTCTTATGACTTGACGTAGGTGTCCACCAACTACGCTCACTACGAGTGCTTTTACGACAACTGTTACGTAACTCGCGTTAGTTAAATAGATGAAGTCTCCAAGATTTACATAAATTAGTCACCAATGCCAAAACTCATAGAAGGTCGGTCTTCTAAATTATCGAAAGTATATTCTATCCATTGCGGTATAGGATAATGAATGGTCAATTTTCTATTTTTCATTCACTTGTTCACTATTTAGCGTTTCTATTGCTCCATTTGATATTTGTTTTAGTCGACTGCTTTTGAAAATCTTCACAAAAACGTATATTATATATGTATATGCATATATATGTATGCGTGTATGTGCTTATCTATATATACATATATGCGCATATATATGTATATATTTATATAAAGTCTTCAAAAATATTTCTAGCCTTTTCGAGGTTGTTATTACAATCTGACGACCTTTCAGGGCGCGTGTAGGCATTACAGCCTCATCAGGAGCACGGTGCCTTTCGCTTAAGCCACTTCCTTGCACGAGATATACTCCCAACATATGAAGGAGTCGACGCCGAATCATTTACAAAATCACCGCATGTCAGGTGATCAAATCCCCCGATATTGTAACGATCGACAGCCGAGCGTTCATGACTGATAATGAATTATACCGCCGTCCATAAACGCAGACGAATGTAAAGGTAAAATTATGGTATGTTTGGAGCTGTATGATTGTGATGCACGGCGCGAGACTGATTCCTGTCTGCAACATTTTCGGCATTCAAAGACCAGCGCCTTACAGAATACCTAAGCCTGACTATCCTAGAGATTGCAAAAAAAACGTGCTCGGCCAGTATTTTATCACCTTGATGAAGAAGACGAAAAAACGAATTTACTGCTAAAAGAGCTAAAGTTCTTACGGTGAAAAGATGTGTCACTGAACAAACAGTGACAAATAAATATAATTGTACATCTAGGCTCTGAGGTAGGCAAGATCCCCAAAGCGTCATCCATTGTATCTGAGATAGAAGTATTGTTCTGGCGTTAGCTTAAAAAAAGTAGGGTTTGTGAAATACGAATGACTATCTCAACGAGTTACTGGCATATAGGTGCACGTATTGTAGGAGTGCTGGTAAAGCAGACGCTGGTAGTGCAGCGTGTTAGAGCAAGCGCTCCTAGACAGGGTGAAACACGGGTTCGTGTTCCGTTTGAAGCAAAACGTTTTGCACATCGCTCTACATCATTTGAGATCTTTATGTTAACGTTGAGTCAAAGCTGGTTATTCAGCTTTTCTTTCTGGTCTTATAGTAGGTTTTCTGACGATCTATGCTACATGCGCGTTTTACAATGTCAGCACAGAGTAATCAATGACTATAAAGTGCGATTTGTGGCGTCGCGTTTCTTTTTCTGTATAGTGATTAATTGCCTTTCTCTCCCTCGATGTCGATTCGCAAATTCTGATGGATCAAAGCGTTCGGAGAGAACTCAGGAGGTTATTGCATTTTGAATAGTTCTAGGGAAACTGGGCTGTTTTGCTAGTGTACTTTATCGGTTATCCCTCTGTCGGTGTTTTCGGACCCAGTTACTATGTTTCTAATCGGAGTAGGTGCCCCTTTCTAAAAACCAGTTTCTCAAAGGTAAAATACAGCTGACACAAATGCGACGCGATCATTCCGTGTTCAATGTGGCTGTTATTTGTGATATGCAAGTTTTGAACTTTGTACGAGAATCGAACCAGCATTTTATCCTTTCCGGAAAGCGTGCTTACCACTTGCACTGCCGATTGCTCACCTTTCTTTCGACGCTACAACGCTTCTATTTGTCAATCGCGAACCTTCAACGGTATGGCACGGGTGATCGGTATCGACATTGAACCCAGCCACGCTGACAGATATTGGGTATTGAATGATCAAATAGATTTTTATTTAGCCGCTTCTTGCGGTGTGTCGCTACAAATATACCCAGTGAGGCAGACTGGTGTGCAGAACTTTTGCGTAGACGGAACCCACATCTCACTCTATCTGGATACGCGTGCTCTAACCCGTTGCACTACTGACGCATATTTTTCCCATCACTTTACGCTACAATGCGTCTATATGTCTGCCCCCAATCGTGTCAACGATATGGCACGGGTAGTCGGTATCGACATTGAACATAGTCACTCTGCATCACAGGTTATATTTGTATTATCATAACACCGCAAAAGCGGCTAAATAAGGATTTCTATCTAATCATTTAATACCTAATATCTGGCAGCATGATTGGGTTCAGTGTCGTTAGCGACTATACGTAGCACCCTGTTGACCGTTGACGGCTGATAATGGATGCGCTATAGCGTAGAAAAAGTGGTGGGCGAAATGGGCGTCAGTAGTGTAACGGGTTAGAGCGCGCGCTTCCGGATAGAGTGAGATGTGGATTCGAGTCCGTCTGACGCGAAAGTCTTGCACATCACTCTGCATCGCTGTCTATCTATGTTTTTCATGCACAAAATATTTTATATTAAAGACTTTATAAGGCTTTGAAGATGGCAACTATTGTACCGAAAGAACGCCATTGACGAGAACTTGGCCTGATTCATTAACCAGAAGTACTTAGAAACTGCATGATTTTGGTTCATTTCAACTGCGCATCGCATTTTCTTGTAAACATTTTCGCTTACAGATGCATGATCTTGCACTAAGAAGGGAGCTGCCGTGAGAACAAATTTGCTTGCTATTTTTGCACGAGTGACGCATATGGAAAAGTGCTAGGGCAGCGGCGGGCAAAATTGATGCTTCCTGTGGATGATGTAAGATCAACTGATTCTTTGGATTCCTCCTGACTATTCTCTCCAGCTCTAAGCACTGCGATCCTCTTTTAGCCGTCCTTTCTGCAACATTGTCGCATCGCTTGAGCTGCATTAGTCATTCATATTTTGCAGTTTTACTGCATGATAACGCTCGACCTCATGCTGCTGGAAAGCGATTGAATTCGTCATAAAAAAGCTAACGTGCGAGGTCGTAGGAGATCTTACCTACCCGCCTTACTCTTCCAACATTGCACCATTTTATTGGAAACATTTGAAATTACATAGTTTGAGTTACAAATTAGCAAATTTTAAGAAACAACGTTCTCCGGGTTCAAAAATCGTCATCTTCAAAGACCTATGAAAAGCATCTTATAAGATATGTTGTTTTGGCGTGTAATTAAATAGAGTCTTTAACGCACCTCCGTGCAAAAAAATAATATGCATTTCTTTAGCTTCATTATTATTACAGCAAAAAAAGCCGTGGAGTTATATTCGCACACCTAATAGTGTGCTCCAGTTGCTCTTGACAACCAATTTCTCCTAGGCAAAGACGGATGGCACGAGGGACACGGTCATTCTGTGTCTGATTTGATTGTTATTTGTGATAATCAGACTATGAACGTCAGACGAGAATCCAACTCGTATTTCGTCCTTTCTAAAGAAACGTGCTAAGCAACTGCACCATCGGCGCTCGTGTTTTGCCTTCATACATTCCTCAAAAGAGCGCATTATAACGTAATGGGATCAACGGCAATATGCACCTGCCAACCTAAGTTGTTCACGCTCAACTGCTATCAGATCGATGGGTTTTATCGAAGAATGAATGATGGAAGAAACTGGAGTATCGATAATGCAATTGGTTAGCATGTGCGCCCGAAAAGGTAAAATGAGCGTTCGGTTCCCGTCTGGCGTTCAAAATTTGCACATCGCTCAGCATCAGAGTATATTAATGACATATTATTACCTCTAAATAACAGTTAATTTGAAAAATTTCTAATTGTCCGCATTTGATTTCTTTTGCACTTTGCAACAGGGATGAGTGGAAGTGCGCCGTGCTAACGAACTAGCGACATTGTCGCTTTAACCCACTGACTTCCACGGACCCAATCTCAACTGCGACACAGGAATTACATCTAGAATCTTAGCCTCCACGTAGTTTTAAGCGGATTTTATCAGGTTCAACTAACTATTATGAAGCGACGACGCGCCTCCTAATCTTCTAGAATGTGAGCTTTTACATGTTCTTAGTGGTGTCATCGATTTAGTTATAGTGCATTTTTTGTAGTGTTAAGATGTTTCATGTCTCCCTAAGAAAATTTAGTGGTGAGAAAAGTACGACTTCAGGCGGGAGTCGCCGTTTCATCCAGACGTCATAACACTACGAAAAATGCAGTAAAATATTAGAAACTTTGAGTATTAGTGATTACAGTAGCTGTCAGCTCAACTGGGTTTATAAAGCGAAATCGCATACCCGACCAAACCTGTTAAAGGTCGGTGATTGATAGCTGACATAGAGATGTTGAAGAATGAATGGTGGAGCGAATGTATCTCGGTGGTGTAGTGGTAGCACGCGTCCCCAGTATGGACGAAACGTGGGTTCGACTCTCTTCTGAGTTCTAATTTTTGTTCACCACTCAGTTCTCTTAGGTATATACAAAATATCGCAACACTGCGAAAAAAGCAGTAAAAACGCCGAGAATTTCATAGAAGTGTTGATGACCATTCTAAAGCTGTGATTTCAGGTTGCAGCCCCCATGTCGCCAGTTTTCGAAATGTCTTTTTTTGACGTTGTTACAAGAAGCGATTTCTTGCACTGCATACTTGCATATTTGTCTCCGGATAGATCTCTTTCTTAGAACTATTAGTGATCATTTGATAGCTTAATCGTTCTTGATTTCAACGCTATCTTTATGTCCTGAAAAGAGCTCTCTATGAAACGCAACAAGTAAAATAACTTGAATTTCCATCTGCGATCAAAGGGGTCTTTGGCCAGTTCACCGGCCACTGGCTGAGGCAGCAATGGGGGGCTGCGCAATTATCTATCAAAATCCGGCCGGTTTCATGCTGGTGCGGTCTTTGTTATTTTATTAGAAATTGTTCTATTGCTTTAAAAAAACTCTATATAAAACGTACGGCTCTGCTACAAAAAGAATCCAAATACTTTTATTTTGACGTGAACACGAATAAGTCAATCATCATCATGACCAGTATAGTGGAATTTAGGAGGTCAGAACGTCCCAATTGTTTCCAACCGTGACTCTAAGACGTCCAGATATTGGGAGATCTTCTCTAGACATTCATATGCTCAAAAATCGATCGATGTCGCCTCAGCCGACCTTGCTGCCATACCCAGCAACCGGTGAGTTGGTCAATGACCATCTTGCTCGCGCATGTGAATCAATCTTATTTTCGCTGTTGCGTTTCAGGTAAACGGCCTTTTCAGTATTTGAGCACGGCGTTGGAATAAGAAACGGTATCATTATCGAATGATTACTAGTAGACCAAAGATTGATCTCTATCCGACGAGAAATATGCGCGTCTGAGACATACTCTTGTGTGCATTTTACAGCGCTATAAGTGTGCTGAGAAGTTGGTCATGTGGAGTTTTGGCCAGAAATCAAAGCCTTCGAATGATTACTAATCTTATGAAAACTTCCACTCCTGCGAATGAGGTCGGTTTCATATTTGTCCCTCTATGATCAGAAAGAATCTTCTGGTATGTGGTTGATCATCCTCCCAACACTCGCCGACAGTCAATCAGCGAACGAATTTCAAGAAACGTCTTTCCCAGCATTCGCCCGGGATACCGAGTTTGCAAGGAGGTAGACCTGGCCAATAGTTCAGGTCTTTCATAAAAAGACGAAATCCTCAAGCAGCAATTGCAACTGCTTGTGAAACAATCAGGATTCATATTATATGTCCGCCTATTGCCACCGTTCAACACTCGCGCTCCCTAAAAGAGTGAGTTCTGGGCCTGAATCCGAGCTGGTACAAATGTTTTTGCACACCACTCTACATTATTGAGCTTGTCAAAAATTTGGAGATGTTCGCAGGAGATACATGCGAGGTGACGAGCTGACTGCTAGGTTTTGAAGAAGGCGAGGTAGCCTGAACATGGGTTATCATATTTAGTTATAATACCCTTTTCGCGTTGGCTTGGAAGAAAATGAAACACGATCCTGTTAATTACTCATGGTGGGGCAAAACTTTCAGGCAAAATTGGTCTTTCCACTCATTTCTTATATCAGATTCCTCGTCCATCTATGACATATGCTCGTCTTATAATGCCAACTCAATACTCAGTCAGCGGTAGGAACGAAGTGCGTCTCAGCGATACTTTACAGGGCATCGTCCCTTTAGGCGGCGTGAGCGCGATTCCTCACTATTTAAACTTTGTACAGCATCTTATTTCTCTTCTATCGGATACTGCGCTGACTTTTCCTTTTCTTGTAAAATCAGATTTTCTATTTTCACTCGCATGCTTTGACAGATCATGTCGCCTTCACGCAGAATCAAGAGGTGTCGTTTCTTGGGCTTTTATAAGGTATTCGAGCTCTTTTGATCAATCTTTTCTTTATCGAACTTGTCTTTGTCGGTGTTGACGGATGCAGTCACTATATGTTTATAGGCGTAGTAGGTGTACCTGTTGTTTTTGATAGCCAACCTCTCAAAGGTAAAAGACAGCTGGCAGTAATGAGACATGATCATTTCATGTTTGACTTGACTAGTAAGTGTGATTTGCAAAGTCTGAACATCAGAAGTGTGTTAAACCTCATCTCACCTTATTAACTATACCTTATTATCTTATCTTTTATTAAGACCACGCTCAAATTTCAATAGATCCTTTCATTATTATTTGAGCCAACATGTCATGTGGTCTGGTAAAGGCTCTTGTACAGCCCGAGACACGTGTTTCGTCCTTACAGACTCATCATCCGGGCAGAACCCGTCGTCTGTCGATCATTTCATAGTCAGTTCTCTCGGAGCATCACACTCCTTATATATAGTTATCGACGACCTACGCTTTACACTCTATGTCAGGTGAAACATTCACCTAACACAGAGTGTTTTCGCACTCGATTGCTAGCTGGCTGGTATTTTATCATATTATACCTTTCTTGTCATGTGGTCTGGTACTCCACTCCAGACCACATGACATGTTGGCTCAAATAATAATGAAAGGATTAGTTTTTAGTTGATCTTATATCGATACGCTTCATCGAATAATAAAGCTAGTGGAACTTTAATATGGGAGTGCAATTGATTAGCACGCGCGCCTGAAAACGGTGAAAGAGCGTTCGATTTCCGTCTGACGTTCACAGTTTGCGTATCACTTAGCGTTACCAACGTATCTCTATATGTATGTACACATGCATATATATATATATATATATGTAATGTAGGTATATATATACATACATATACATACATGCGTATATGTATATTGCAACAGTATACCCCAGCTAACTAGCGGTTAAATAAAAAGATTTACAGTTGCTTGCATTTGGTTTTGTTTGCGCTTATCAAGAGGGATGAGTGGAAGTGCTCTCTGCCGATCTGTCAATATTGTCGCTTTAAAAGACGAACGACAGCGCCGGCGGCAATCTTCAATATTTATATTTTTTGAGCGTGTGATTTACACAGCCTTGAATGCCTCCGATATTAGCAGCCTCTCCAATCTCTTACTTCCTAAAACAATTTTGATATCATTTTCATTTGGAATTCGTCCACACTTATCTGAAAACAGTTGCAACCTCAACAAGGGCCCTGATTCTTTAATCTTTATATAGAAGACCAAACTGATAATGTACTCCTAGTGCAACGTTCACTTCCAAGCGAGTGTCTTGTGCAACGGTTATATATAACGGTGATCCCTCAAAGGAAGTCAGCAGCTTTTTTCGATTCTTCTGTTTTGCCGATATTTTGTAATATCAGTTCAATCTCTCTTCAAGCTCCCGTGCTGCTTTAATCGGCGAAGAGAAATTCGAAAGTACATTAGCACTCTGTATCTAATCTAGCAGACGGCCATTGTGAGGTTACTTGGCGAAATTTTAGCTTGACTTTTCATAAAACCGCAATGGATTCCCATTCTTTTCCAAATAACTTTCTTAATGTCTTTCCCAAGAAGAATATGTAGAGCAGCGACAGAAGTGCTCTGTGTCTCTCACAAAGTTTATAATTCGATCTCGCGCTCAGACTCATCAAGCCATCGATTACTCGAGACGCTAATTTGAGTACTTATATGTTAGAAAGAGACGAATGAATAAACAACCTCGTTCGTTGGACAAAAACTTTTCATATAATTATTAGTGACCATTCGGAAGCTTAATTGTCGTGCTAGCGCCTTACATGAACGGTTTTTGATGAGAGCTTTTTAAAACGAGTATTATCTTCTACTTATCCACTCTGAGGAGCTAGTGATATTACTTATTGAATATCAGCGAAGCATACAGCAATGCAGTTAATAATGCAGCATAACTATTACAACAGTCAACACTTTGGCGGGTCGCCTTCTTCAGAGCCTGGAATGATCAAATTGATCTACAATATGCTCTGGAAAACCGGCCAAGTACCACTCTAGCTAGAGATTTAAGCTTTGAAATATCACTAACAATGTTTGAAAGGTTCATATTCAGCGAAAGGGTTGAATATTCCTTCAGAGCCGTCGAACATGTAAGAATCATGAAATGGTATCAGACTGGTCGCAAATTTGTCTAATAAGCAGCGCTAACTCGGTACAGCGGTAGAGCACCACGAGTCAGTGTTAAGGCTAATCATGTATTCAGTCACCTCGAACGAAGCTGAATATTAGAGGCGAATGCACGCACCTCTCAAAGAGTGATTGAGGTCCAACGCTCTATCTTTTTAATGTATCTCACACGGAAGGCACAAAGATGTGCAGCGCACCAAGAAGGCTTTTTCAAATACTAGATGCTAACTACTGAAATTGCCGTTCTTTGAATATCGTGTGACTTACAGATGTCTGATAAAAACACCTTGCATGTAAAAAAAATTTATGGAAGTAAGCGTGAATTTGACAAAATGGGCGTCGTTCCGAAAGAGTTGAAGACGTGAGTAGTGTTTTTGACGAGTTCGACTTCTCAAGAGCCTATTCTTACAATTCCACACTTTTTCACTTGAAGCGCTTTATTACCAGTCTTCGCAGTGTTTTCTTTTTCGCTTTACGGGTCCCAGTACTTTCAGCATTCTATCAAATTTTCATCTTCTTCTGAAACGACGTAGAGCGCTGGATGAGAGTATCTTCTTGCAGTCTCGAGAATAGACTGGCTGTGGCTACCCTTAGCGCGTTCCATATTGACTGGCGGAGAGTACTGGGGCAGGGTTCACCCCATCCCCCTCTCCTCAGGCTCGCGGAGACGAACATCACAACCACTTCGCCACGGCGCTCCCACTGTTCCATACTATACTGCATTGTTCAGTTGCTATTTTTAAATGTCAGTACAAATCTAGTAAAAGAATTTTTCAAAAGTCTGACTATTAAGGCGAGCCCACCGTCTGACTCTTTGGATCATGAAAAGTCACCATTGCGCTATTCTTATACTATTAGAAGACTCATTCGAGCCAAAAAAATCATCTGAAGAACGACACCACCATATCGC